TTATACAATACACCATTTGATTTCCTGACTGCTGCTTCTATGATAGTTGATCCAAGAAGAATAAAGTCCTTGACAACTTCAATCTTTTCTCTGTTGATAAGAATGTTGTTTATTGGTCAAGCGGTGAGGATTTTTGTTTTCTTATATTGAGATGCAATCCATACTAAAGGCTGTGGTCTTTGATCTTCATCAGTAAATATTTTACGTTCTCTTCACTTTCAGCAAGCAAGGTTGCATCATCTGCATATCACAGGTTGTTACCCTGCAGTTGCTGGTTGAGTTTGAACCACCAACCTTGTGGTTCAAAGTAACCTTGAGGCCCAGTGCTTACATATTGTCACATAGTACCACACCAGGACTGTCAATCTGAGTGGTAGGTGAAGTAATATACAAGAGGATATTGTCCCAGAAGATATAAAGATGGTGGAAGACACAGGGGGGAGTGCAAGAGCTGAAGGGAATAGAGGAAACCACTGTGAACGAATTGTACATGGAAAGAGCAACAATCAGTGTAATGACACCAAGTGTATGATTTACTGAATGTGGGACTGCTGGTATGCTCTTCACATCTCCACTCAATTTACAATCAAGCTTTTAAAAATGTTGTTTTTTTTCTTTTTTAAAAAAGGCAGTTTTGGCATTCTTGTGGCACTCAAAAGCTGTTTCTTTGAGGTTTGGCAAATAAGAAAAAATCTGAACAGGGCAGAAAAGTATTATAAGGTGGGTGGGGTAAGATTTCCCAATGAAACTCTCATAGGATAGTATCAAAGAATGAGCAGATGCATTGTTATAACAGATAATATTCCTCAGAGCAAATTTCTTGTCAACACAGTTTTCAATTTTCTTAAAAGTTCTTTATCCTATGCTCTTACAGAAAATCTACCAAGATGACCACTTTAGATTCCCCAAACCTAGAAGCCATGACCTTCTGAGCTGACCTCTCAGCCTTGGACTTTTTTTTTTTTGAAGGCACCCTAAGGAAACTAAGTGGACTACTGAGAAAACTTGTTTGCAGTCACCCACTGAGCACAGAAACATGCCTAAATACGTTTTGTTTGGAATACATCCATGAATGTATGAACAAATAGTTCCCGGGGAACGCTGAACTGAAAAGACAACTATAGCACTGTACGTTAGGTATTCTTCCATAGAAGACATGAGGTCTGGTAGATAAGGGGACACACAGGATAAAAAATCACTTACCTGTAAAGAGGGTGTAGTGAGTTCCTGTGTGTAGTAGCATGGCTTATTTGTCATCTTTATGGAAAATCCACATATGTGGGGGAGTTTAGATTTCAGATCCATAAGAAAACTTTTCAACACACTTTCCAAATCCACTCTGGGAAAAAACTGTATGGGCTGGCTTCTGATGCAACTGAGAGGGTATCTGAACAATGTTAAAGAACGTGCAACATTTTTCTTTTGTACCTAAGAGAAATTTGAAATTTTAAAAAATATTGAAAAAAAGTTTTTAAAGGCATAATAAATAAATTCGAATTATCTTTTATTTAGCTTATTCCATACCATCCAGAACTCAAAAGCATGCAATTTCATAGGTGACTGTGTGTCCATGTTAATACACAATCAAGGCAACTCATTGTTATCTTTATTATATGGTTGTCTAAACTAAGATGTTTCAAACATTATAAAGAAGGCACGATGAGCCTTGGTATGGTGTTGCATGATAAGCGCTAGACTGCTAACCACAAAGTTGGCAGTTCAAGCCCACCAGCTGCTCTTCGGAAAGTCTATACAGGATCGCTGTAAGTCAGAACTGACTCTCCGGCACTTAACAACAACATACACCTGGTTACCCACTGCTGTTCAGCTGATTCTCGCTCACAGTGACCTTGTAGGACAGAGCAAGGCTGTCATCTTTATGGAAGCAGAATGCAACATCTTTCTCCCATAGAGCAGTTAATGGGTTGGAACCACTGACCTTTTGGCCAGTGTTTAACCGAGCACTTAACCACTGTGCCACCAGGGCTCCTATGAGCCTTATGATGTTGTTAAGTGTCACTGAGTTGGTTCTGACTCATAATGACTCTGTATAGGGTTTCTGAGAACGGCTGGTAGGTTTGTAACTGCCGACATGTGGTTAGCAGTCTAGTGCTTATCTACAGCTCCATGCTAGGACTTCTAATAGACTATCATTACAGTGAGTGTTTATAGTAAATAGCAAACAAGTTACAGGCACAAAAGCAGTAGGAAATTCCATTCAGAGAACCACATTTATAGTGGTTCTACGTTCAAGGCAGTCCCTTGAGAAAAGTAGTTACTTGTTCTAAAGAAACCGTTCTGAAGATTTGGAATAACGAAAGGGGATAACTGATATATCGCAACCTCAATTTTACTATCAATATTTCTGTTAGAAAACGTGACCTCAGAAAGGAAAAGCTGTGGCTCTCCTTCTGTTTGAAATGCCAGGCAGTAACACCAAAAAGGCAGAGCCTTCAAAAGCAAGTGTTGAGAGAGGTTTTATTAAGTGAATGGGGAATGTTAAGTGTAAGTTAAATTCTCTAAACTCTGCCTGTAAAATTAAATAATCGTCCATAAAGAAAGCAAGACTGTGTTAGATTACTGGTTCTTCTACCTCAGTGCTCTCAGTACTACCTGGCACCACTAGAGGGAGAATCCTTTGGTTACTTCTTTGTACTAAGAAGCAATGTTACAGCTACTCTAAAGTTTCTTTTCTGCCTAAACTACTGAAATAGTATTTACAGAAAAAATCATCCTCATTGAGCTCATCCTCGAAAAGAAGTAGAGGAAAACCCTAAGCAAAATAGAAATACACACACACAGAAAAGGCAGTCAAGTAGTAGTCTCATTAAGCAAGGAGGAGGCTGAAAGTAACAATAAAAGTGGGGCGGTGGTAAGCTTGGGGGATCAAGGTGAGCAGAGAGCATCTGTCACACGTGGTTGTAGAAAGGATACGTGAAGATTCTTTCTCCTATCATTCTGAAGTAGATGCTGCAGTATATTTTCATAGTCCCACAATCTTCTGGAAGTTTATAGCCATACTAAAAATTAAGCACAAAGTTGAAATCATCTTTAGAGGAAGGTAGGAGCAGGTTGGATTACAAGATACAAATTCAGTCCCTTGTAAGGAAGGCTATGTAGGCGCTCTACTTACCAGGTCATTCCAGTGTTTCTGGAAGTCTCTATACGAGTGGAAAGGGCAGTCAGGGGGCGTGGTGTGAAGTATATTTATTATCTGTCCCATTTTCATGCTGTGAAAAAGAAGAGCTTCTCAATATTCTGAAACAATGCTTAAATATGGTTTGATAAGTTAACTATGTGGCTTAGACACAGGGTGTAACTATCCATTCCTAGGTAGCAAATGAATCATTTTCTCCTAGTTCCAAACATAAACTTCAGTCTCAGCAACTATAATTTTCAGAAAAATCTAAACTGAGTAAGAAAATAAAATACAGAAAGAAAGAAAGAAAAAAAGCTAATGGCTATGAAAGGAAAAAACCCCACCAAATCATAAGGAAGAAAATGCCGCCACACAAGGGCATGTCAGTTAATTAATTGTCAGACTTTAAGAAAAGACTGTTAAGGGTTGAATTAATCAGCCAAATCTATGTTCCCTATGTATCTCTTCCCTGCTGCAATAAGTAAACTATTATGTCTTGGTTGTTGTTAAGTGTTGTCATGTTCTGATTCTTAATGGTCTTGTATTGAGTTTCCGAGGAGTGGCTAGTGGGTTTGAACTGCTGACCTTGTGGTTAGCTGTCCAGTGCTTATCCTACCGTACCATACCAGGACTCTAAACTATCATGCATATGTTGTTATTATTGTTGTTAAGTCCAGTCATTTCCGACCCATAGCAATCCTGAATAGGGTTTCCAAGGAGCAGCTGGTGAGCTTAAAAGGCCAATCCTGAAGTTCAAATGACTTTGCAGTCCAGCACTTTAACACACAGTACCACCCCAGGGCTCCTATTATGCATATGCTACCAATAAATGAGACTTCTTTCACTGAGCAAATTAAAACTTCATCCCAATTCAAACACATTGCTGTTGAGTGGAATCCACCTCATAAGGATCCTACAGGACAGAGGAGAACTGCTCCATGGAGTTTCAGAGGCTGGAAATCTTTATGGGATCAGATTTCTTCCTCTCTTCCAGTGGAGGGTCTGAGAAGCCGGTGGGTTTGAACTGCTGACTGTCTGGTTAACAGCCAAACACTTAATCTACTGCACCACCAGGGACTCTCTTGCATCCCAATAGTCCTGTTTATACAACTATCAAAGCTGTTCCCCTGGAGCCGTTATAAACTGAAAACTCAGTTCCCTCTTCAATCACACTGAGGCATCAACTATTAGGGACAAGTGTGTCAGGTCTTAGGTCATTGCATAACAGAATCTAGAGATCTTACTCTTTCTTTAAACTAGATCAAAAACAAAACGTGAAACAACTATTTGTTTAGTTGTTTCCTAAAGGAAATTAATAGTAACTTTAAGTCTGGCAATATTACCGATGTGAACCCAGCAAATGAGAGAAAATGACCATGTTGGGCATCTGCCAACAAATGTGCCCTACCAACAAATCAAATTCCCACCTTGGCAACACGTAGCACCAGTTGCTTAAGATGGTATGACTGTCAATGATGGCATTCTTGTTAGCTTCAAACTTCTTGATAACACTCTCAGGAATATCAAATTCTCTCAGCTTCCAATAGAAATAAAGATGTTAGTTAATAGCACGCATCCTCCAAAGAATTTGGCAAGGCAAAGGAGACATTAAAAATACATCTTTGTTTTACATCTTTATAAGCACTGGACCACAAGATCGGTTTGAACCACAAGGTCAGAGGTTCAAAACCACCAGTCATTCCTCGGAAACCCTTGTTAAGCATTGGAAGCGACTCAAAGGCACGTAACACCAACAATTACATACATGTCGTCATAACACAGTTTCTGCATGACTGAATCCTGTATAACACATCCAGCTGTGCCTCAAGTAGACACTGTCCTAATTTCCTGCTCTTCCTCTCAGCCTCCAAACTCAAAACACATAAACCATGCTTATTTCCTTGGTTTTCCATTTCTTTTTGAGTATGTTAACATACAGGCCTTCAATCCCCCTTGCCATGGAAGGGATTTACATTTGTAAGCATGGTGTGTTAGGAACCCACTTTCTGGGGGAGTCCCGGAAGGGGCTGAGTCAGGAGCTATCCTTGACCTGCAGCATTTGGAGGGAGAGCACAGAGCAAGCCCCTCTAGCTCCACCTCCTGGAAAGCTCTTCCTTGTTCCCCAGGGGTAGTCCCTGAGGACCAGTAAGCTTGTGGGTACCAAGGGCAGTTTCTGTTTGTTATCTGCCCTGGGAAGTCTCCTTGGCTCCGTTGCTTCAAAGACACACAGAGAACACAGGAGAGGTGGCATATGAGTGGGTGAGCAGTCCCTGTCTTGAGATCAGAGAGGGTGGTTCACAGTCCCTCTCCCCTTTCTTAACCGGTCTCCACAACATCATTGGGGAAACAGTGCTCTAACCTCACTGCCCATGTCCATCTAGCACAAGTTAAACTGGCCAACTTTTTATTGCCTGGATGAGTCAGGAGCATTTTAACTCTAATACTGCTTAAAGCATTGCCCACTCAAGTTTATCCGAGTCCTAGTCAGAGCCTGCCCTGCTCTGAACTCCCACAGCGACTGTGAAAACTCCAGGACAGGACGAGACGGGACAAGTAAGAGCAGGGGAGCAGAAACCATGACCAGAGAGAAGGGAGGAGAAGCTGTGCTGGCTGTATTCTGAGGTGTGAGAGCCAGGCCAGGCAGAACTAGTAAAGACACTGCCTGTGCTGTGCTGTGCCGTATTGTGTTTAGGAGACAAGCTGCAGTGTGGTAAGGAGAAGTGGTGAACACCGGGATATCCAGGACCAGCAGGTGGAAGAAGCAGACTATGTGAGGAAAAACTCCAATGGGGAATTCCGAGGAGGCAGGCACAGGTCTAGATGTCAGCAGCTGATGGGTTCTCACATAAACCTACATGCTTCGGTGCACAGCTTTCTGCTGTGCTCTACACTATTCCGAGACTCAAGTCAATTGCTGCAGGCTTCTCCGTGGTATGAGTCAACACAGATTATTCTAAAAATGTTCACCATACACACCAAGAGACAACAAATTTAGAACCAAGCTTGTATTCATTCACACACATCTACAAATGTCAACAAGGCCATACTGATAAGCAAGTTGTCGTTGTTAGGTGCCTTCGAGTCAGTTCTGACTCATAGCAACCTTATCTAGGGTTCCTGAGGGGTGGCTGGTGAGCTGCTGACCTTGCAGTCCAGTGTATAACCAACAGTGCCACACCAGGACTCCAATAAATATTACTTCCTCTTTATAGATTTTATTTTCTCTAGGGAATATTGAGGTACTGGGCACCTTGTTTTGGAGAAAAATCTCTGTTAACACTGTGACGGAAGAATAAAGAAAATAAGCAAGAAGGCCAGTCTGGAGACTAATTTAATAGTCCAGGCAAAACAAGGTGGTCCTAACAAGAGCAACAGGAATGGTGATGAACAGGAGGAAGTAGGTTTCAGAGACCAAGGCAGGCTAGTAAAGACTAATTAAATTGGATACAGAAAGTGAGAAAGAGCTCATGATGGCTGCAAAGTTTCTAAAGAGGTAACAAACAAATTGGCTGTTGATGCCAGTAATCAAAAGAGTAAATATAAAGAAGGAACTGATATAGGGTTGAGGAGGGAGACCAATAAATACATTCATTTTAGACATCATTAAGTCTGAGCACTATTAGTCCATTCAAGAGAAAGATTTCAACACAGGACAGAAAGGTTGCAATTATACAAAAAGATCTGACTGGTATCCTCAACAAGATGGTTTAACAGTGGCTACAAGAATGTGCTCGAATGGAATAGTTGTGAGGATGGTGCAGGACCAGGCAGTGTTTCCTTCTGTTGTGTATAATAGGGTGCCTAAGAGTTGGAACTGACTCCACAGCACCTAACAACAACAACAACAACAGTGCATAGGTAAAAGTCATTGGAATGGGTGAGCCTGGTAAAGAGAAGAAAAGAGCTCTGAAGACAGGATTCTAGGGAGAAGGAAAATGACAGTTAGTGAGTGATTACTAGCATGGAAGGTTCTGTGCTAGGTCCACTGAGAATGAACAAAATACAAGCAAGACAGGTCCCTTCTGTTAGAGGAAAGCGTCAAGTGTAAAAATACATGACAACGAGGGTGAGATGGCATTTACTATGAGCTCAAACAGTGTTTTAGATTTGGTGGTAAAAGAAGAGGAAGAAGTGGGTGTTTAGGTCAAGTACGGCTGTGGAATCTTGAGCATCACCCTAAAAGAATTTTGCCCATGGGACTAATAGGACCAAATCTGCATCAGACTGACAGAAGGTTTTCTTTGCATAAACAGATGAAAGCAATATAAGGGGACTTCAAAAAATTCAGGAGGAGGCAGAGGCAAGATGGTGGACTACGTAAAAGTGCTACACAGACCCTCAATAAGAAAGAGAACAGAAATCCCAATGAAACAGACCAGTCTGCCATCCCTGGAACCCTGAACTTCAGATGTAGGTATTGAGAAATGGACTGAATGCTTACTAGGATAGGAAGCTAAACAGATGCCACACACACACAAAAAAGGACACAGACTAGTGACCTGTGCCGGTGCTGTCTTAACTTTTGTGAGTGGCTTTAGAGACAAGTTAGAGATTTGATGGTCCAAAGGTGTACAGGGACTCGTGGACATAAAGACGTGATTTATTCTTGTTTGACACACTCCCCTAGTGACCAGAGGTGTGGCTGGCCCCTTCCTGTGTACACTCCCAGTGAAGCACCCTCTTTCCAAGGGTTGGAGGCCCATGGTGGTGAGAGCTGCGTGCCTGGATTCAGGTGAGCCCTGCTCCAAACCTGCAGAGTTAGCCCTAGTCAGCCCTAGAAAACTAACCCTTACTAGAAGAAGCTAAACAGACAGACATGGGGGAAAAAAGAGAGACAGGTGATCTGTGCTGGCCAGTCAGGCATGGAATAGCCAGTGTGAACTTCCAAGGGCAGCTTTTTGGAGGTTGAGGGCAGTTGAGTGGTACAGAGGCATACTGCTTACTGGCAGAGAGAAACGGGCATTTTTTTCTTGTAGCCCACATTGCCCTGGTGGCCAGAGGTGCGACCAGCCCCACCTGCATATATCCCTAGTGAAGCTCCTGCTTTCTGGTGGTCAGAACCACAATGATGAGCCAGGCAGTTGTTGAATTGCATTTAAGTGAACAGCAAGCTATATCTGCCCCAGTTCTGGAGCCTACATTCAACTGAGACCAGCTCAAGACCTGCAGGGCCAGTTCTGGCCAGCTCTGGACTAATGGGAACTTTCATCCCTAGCTGCCCTCTGGGATGGAAACACCTTGATCCCAGCTTCTTTAGGGTTTGCATGAACTCTTTCTGGATTGGGTGCCCAGAGCAGAAAAACCTAGGCATATAGGAACTTCATCTAGGGCCAAAAACCACTGTTTCATCCCTTGCCCACCCACCATGTGAAATCCTTGGCTGGCAGGAACCCCCAAGAGTTTTCTCCTCTCTGGGTCATGCACCCTTCCTGTTTTTCCTTTCCTTGTTATTGTTTGTTTATTCTTTATTCCCTTTTTACCTTCTCTTGCTTTTTATCCTTTCTATCTCTACCTTCATTTGTTCTTCTGTTTCTCTTTCCCCTCCCATTCCCTTCTTCTATTTTTGCTCTTGAGTCTTTCCTTACTACTCTCTGGTCTCTTTCTTTTACTATCCCTCTCCCTAATTGTGTTTAGGAGCTCTGGTAGCATAGTGGTTATGAATCGGGCTGCGAACCTTAAGGTCAGCAGTTTGAAACTACTAGCTGTTCCGCGGGAGAAAGATGAGGTGTTCTGCCCCTGTGAAGATTTACAGCCTCAGAAACCCTGTACAGGGTCGCTATGAGTCGGAACCGACTCCACGGCACATAACAACAATTGTGTTTAGTGCTTTTCCTTTTTTTTCATTTTCTAATATATTTTTCTCTTCTGTGATTTTCATTTTATTTTTTATTTTCTCTTTTTAATTACTGTATTCTTTTTGTAGCTGTTTCCTGCTTTATTTATTTTTCCTCCATTATTATTATTATTATTTTGCTATTGTTTGCTTATTGTTATTGTTTTCTTGCTATCTTATGTCTATCTATCTATTGTCTTTTTTTCTATCTTATGTCTTTCTATCTTATTGTCTCGCCCGATGGAGAACAGCAACTACCCAGCCACAATCATGCCGTCTGTAGTCCCACCTTCTGGGCAAGAGTCAGTATCAGCTGTAATACACCTGATCAATGACAAAAACCAACAGTCAATCCCACCCTAAACTGAGCTGCATGAACAGCGACCAGAGAATGGTGCGCATGCTTCCATTCTCTAATCATACCCACCAGGAAGCAGTTGGTGAAAGCCCAAGAACACACCAACACACAAGCACCAGTTAAAAAAGAAGAAAATGATCAGGTCATTAAAAATTCCCAACAAAAAAGGTCTAGGTCCAAATGGCTTTACTGGTGAATTCTGCCCAACATTCAGAGAAGAGCTTATACCAATTTGACTCAAACTATTCCACAACACAGAAAAGGATGGAAAACTCTCAAATGCATATTATGAAGTATAACTCTTATGCCAAATAAGGCAAAGGCATTACTAAAAAATAATATTATAGACCAATATCCTTCAGGAACACAGATGCAAAAATTCTCAACAAAATCCTAGCCAAAAGAACACCCATACCTGCAGATAATACCCACTTATCCTGGCTTCAGTGACTGGATGATCAGAGCTCAA